GTTCCGTTCAAAGGCTGAGCCATGATAGCAATGACTGAGCAAAACCAACTCTCTTTGTGGGCTTTGGCGGTGGCTTGAATTGAGGGAAGAAAAACATGGTCTTTGAAGGGTACAATTGCTGTGCACCTTCGACCAAGGCACATAAAGTGAAAGAGAGAGAGAGAGAGAGAGACAGAGACAGAGAGAGAGAGAGAGAGAGAGACACAGAGAGAGAGAGAGGGAGACAGAGAGGGAGACAGAGAGAGAGACAGAGAGAGAGGGAGAGAGAGAGCGAGATACTCTCTTACACAAACTATTGTTGAACATGGCTCCTCGTGGAATTAACTTCCAGCCTGCCTCGGTTCAAAACTTAGGATTCTGGATCTGAGACGTGATCCCTTTGTGGGGATTAGCGAATGGGATGCAATGATTGAACTTTCAACTGGGCTGGACGTAGACCCCCTGTAGCAAAATAACAACTTGCTGGTTGAAATGAAACAGAAAGCAAAACCAACAAGGCAAATGGTGAAAACAAAAATGCCAAGTCTGGCAATGTCGATAGCACCTTGCCTTTTGCGGCTTCAGACTTCCCAACCTCCTTTCGCGGCATTTTAAAGGCGTGCTGGGCCATGGAGAAAAGGTCGACGGACCCTGTGACTTGGGGAAATTTGAGCTGAAGTTGTCGGATGGAGTCCATGTTGAAGATGGACATGGTTCCCCGAAGCTTCCGCCCGAAAGTTGCCGGCCCGCGCCTTCTTGCTGACCAGCTGTTGCACAACCCCGTCCAGCTTTTCGAGCAGCTCTAGCTGGCCTCAAGCAAGGAAGCGCTCCAAATTCCAAGCAAGTGAGATTGGCACGGACCGAATGCAAGCCGCACTCATCTCCCGGCAACTTCTGTTCATGAAAACAGATCTCAATGATCCATGGGTCCCTTGAAGCAAACTAGTTTCTGGAAAGAGACTCGATGGGGCCGGACTTTTATTTTAAAACGCAAGTTAGGTTGGCTCAACATGTCCCGGCTATAGCTTGCGGCTATCTCCCCACTTGGGATTTGGGATCATTGAGCTGTGAGCTGACAGGCCATTGCTGCAAGCCAAGGGCTTGCAGGGAAAGCTCCCAATAGCTGCATTACCTGAAGATTGTATATCGCGTCTTCGTGCCCTGGAGAAAGTGAACATATGTTTCCAGTAGTGATAGATTCTCTTTGTATAAACCCCACAGGGGAAATCACACATCTTCTTAAGCGAATGGAAGGCATCTATCTAGTTTCTGTGTCGCCTGGAAGATTGAATCAGCGTGGTGAGGCTTTCACCCACAAACCGCCCCAAGATTCTCCGCTGGCTTGGCTTGCAAAGGAAGCGGCATGGATCAGAAAGCAGACCTTCATCAGCGCGGCGTCCTCAAGCCATTTGTTTGTGTGATGTGTGTGTGTTCGTAAGTAGCGCGACCCCCCCCCAAACAAAATTGTTGTCCTTTTGGTGTCCGGTTAAACCAAGGTGAACAGGGTACCACCACTGTCTGTGGCTTGCTATGATACAGCACAGTAACAGTGGGCCGGGGAAAAAAACAGGCCAGAACATTGAAGCCTTTCTTGACAAGCAGAACGCAAAGCTTCATCGGCTTCAGGAAAATGATGGCTCCGTGAACACAAGTCGAAAGAAGACCGAATGGAGAAACAGCAACAAAGAGGCATTTCCTTCCAGTTAGGCCACTGGCAAAACAACAATGTCCTTTGGCCTCAATATGTTGTTTGGTCTCAATGCGGGCAGCACACACACGCACACACGCTTGGTGCTTGCACTTGTTAGACCTCCACTGCCAGACGCAAAAAGATGGCCACATGAACATCACTAACCATTACGCGTGGCCTAGCATGCTTTTTTTATTTAGCTGGGCCCGGACTTGGTCAAGAGGTGGTGCGGGTCCTATTCATGAAGCCAGCCGCTACTGCTGTCTTTCTCTTGTTGAGCGCAAACTAAAGCTGGTGTACTCTTGTCGGTTGGTGGTGGTGGTGGTGGTGGTGGTGGTGGTGGTGGTGGTGGTGGTGGTGGTGGTGGTGGTGGTGGTGGTGGTGGTGGTGGTGGTGGTGGTGGTGGTGGTGGTGGTGGTGGTGGTGGTGGTGGTGGTGGTGGTGGTGGTGGTGGTGGTGGTGGTGGTGGTGGTGGTGGTGGTGGTGGTGGCTCTGGTGCTGCTGGCTGCGGTGGTGGCGTTGGCGGAGGTGGTGTTTGTCTATTGCATCGTGCTTGTTTTGCGACGGCGGCACTGGATTGTTGTTGGTGCTGCTGATTGTTGGCAGTTGTTGTGAGTTGCTTGGGTTTGCCATTGGTTCGTGTTGGATGCGGCTGTTCTCAGGTTTTTAGCCTTCACTTCTACCGCATACCTGGTCTTCAGGTTGTCACTCCATCTCCTACTTGCACTTGCTTGTTTAAGCCTCCTGAAAAAAAAAAGAAAAACACGAAAACATGTCCAGTTGTGACAGATTTCCTTTCGCACCAACAAGGAAACATAAGACATATTTCCAAGCAAATGGAAGCCTGCAATGTCAATACTGTGCCAGGGGTCGATTGTAGAGCGACTGCAGCGAAGTGTAGGAACGTGACAAGCGAAACCTCGGGGCTGCGTACCCAAAGCGGGGCTATGAAAGTCATTGCAACGTCGCACGCTGGCGAAAGAAATCTATTTCATGTTACTTCATTTCAAGCCCTTGCTTTCCTGTCTTCGAAGTTGCCGTTAGTTACAAGTAGCTTGGTAGACCATCTGCCTCAACCTCAGCAATCCTCTGTGCTTATCGAAAATGTCTCCCTCAAGTTCGGAGTCAGAAGTCCAGCTGCAAGCTATGAGGTCGGCAGGCCCTCTAGCTTTCAGGGAGGCTTAAAAGGGTTGGGCGGGGATATCCACTGGCACCACATTTAGAACCCCCCCCCCTTTTTCTTGCTTTTTCTTGCTTGTGTTCTAGGGAAACTCTAGGGATCACCTTGGGAATGAATCCAGGGATCCCCCGAAAATCATAAGGAATGGTTCATAGGGGGCATTTGCTCATTCCCTGACAACCAGCGAGTCTTGGGAGGCTGCCTTTTGAGGTATGTTTATTTGAAGGGAGATACTGCACCTACACCATCATTTTACAATGTGGTCCTTTTGCTTGCTTGCCGGAAAGCACACGCCGAGTTTCACGACAACTTCCCTAAACAAAACATGGAACATCATGTGATGTTCGCCTTAAATGCACGTTTGTTGTGTGATGGTTGCCAGTAATACACGATTAAACTGCCCGCAAGCCGCAAGCTCCGCGACTTTGTCACGGACTTGCGACCTTGCAGTACCCCAACAAAAAGCACACCAACAACAAACAAGTGCCCGACTTCTGGTACTCAAGGGTTAAGCGAACTGCTCTCACGTCCAAGCTTGGTTCGATGCGGGAAGGGAATGAGATTCCCAAAGTGACCCCTGCTCAACTTCCATCAAAAGAATGATTGACCTAATCTGGATGATGGCACTCGTTTTGTTTATTATTGGCGAGAACATATTGACTCCCTTTGTTTTAATGGTGGTTTGAACCCCCGGGGCCCCCGGGTGATGTGTCCCCAGGCGGATCGGGCGGATTCCCGTGAGGCCAACCCATTCGAATGGGACTCGGCCAAGGAACCCATGCCGGTGCCGCAGGGCCCGCATCGCTGGAAAATCGGTCTTGACAAAAATCGCTGCGGGGCGACTTCTGAGCCTTGTTTCTTTTAGGAACCAATATGGGGAATGTGCCGAAATAGGCTGGACACATTCTTCTTGGGGTGGGTTAATGTTGACCCAGGAATGATAAACCCGGCCCATTGTTGGGGTGAACACCCCTCCAAAAGTGGTCTGAATCTCCACTAAAAGGGGACACCCCCCTATTCATCAACCAGGCGTTTAATAATCCGGGGTGAACATTAGCCAGTTTGGTAAATTGAAATACTTCCTTGGGTCACACTCAGATGAGCTTCCTCGTGGGGGTGATAGTTAGAGGGTAATATGGGGAGCGCTGCATTATACCCCTAGACTGCTGACAAAAAACAAATGCAGGATGTGAGCCAAGAACAAGATTCTTCCCGGAAGGCAAGGAATAATTATGCTGCCTGGACATGTCAGCGGGGAGATGCCCTGGAGAGGACGGACTCCAACTACCTCAAAAACGTATGCATATTTGGGTATGAAGCTCAATAGGACATGGAGGACCCTTTTGGGCGGACATTCGACATGAGAAGTGGTGTCCACCAACCATATTGGTCATGTCATTCCAAACATTTGCGTTGAAAGCCAAACAGTGTCAACAGGCACTGGACTGCCAGTGGTTGGGGTGCGCCCATTCAACCGAGTCGATCACGTCTTTGAGGGAGGCCAAAGGAAACCGTTGTCGAGCTTCTTCCCAAATGTGGTCCATCATCAAGGAACGGGCCTTCTACATATGTATTAAACAAAAATGCGTGTATATCATATATATATATATATACATATGTTGCTGCTCCATCAATCACGTCCACAGGAGCAACCGGTCCTGTGTCAGCCGGGCTTCTTGGATTCATATGGGGTCCTAGCGGTGCTGATCTGCAAGTTGACAAGCGGTGCCTCCAAAAAAAGGACCGGCTACTCAGGCTCCAGGCTTGCCGTTTTTATTGTATTTGTTTCTGTTTTTCCGGGTCTGAGTGAATACTTTGAACTTGCCAACCCATGGGTTCTGCAATGGTTGCTGTTCATGAAAGTTGTTGTCCTCCGAAACCCTCTAAGTGAGGCGGCGATTTCATGGCGAGGATGGGTGATACGGGTTTGTCTCAGAATCGGGGACCCCCCCACCCAAGCGGTCGCTTGCCTTATTTTTTGTTCTTCTTGTACATAACCCCCAAACACGTACCTCCGTGTTTTGTCGGGGACCCCCGAATAGTGGAATTCCTTTTGGCTTTCCTTAAAACCCAGAAGCAACGGGGTACCCTCAAAAGAAGACACCCATACGTGCCAACAAACCCACCAAGAACCGATGCGAGGGAAACGTCCTCCAGCTCCTCCAGCTGCCATGGCGACGGAGGTTCCTCAGGAGAAGAGCGCTCAAACGATGCAAGTCACCTTACCCCGTTTACCGGCTCGGCGGCAGGACTTTAGCAATGCGCAAAAGCAACACCAAAGACAAGCAAAGAGACACCACGCGAGGATTGTACATTGCGGAACACTCCCTGAGAGCCAGCGATGCAACTGGAAACCTCGTTGACAACACGACCAACAAAAAAGGCGACATGAGGCTGACATGAATGAACTTAGTCTCATGCGGTGCAGTGAACGCATGTGCTTATTAACCGCACCTCCCCACCCCCCCACCCACCCGCGCCCACTCCAACGACAGAAAAACAGCTGAAACGCCGGGAAACGACAGAAAAAACAGCTGAAACGCCGCGAAACAACCAGGCGCCCTGTGGCGTCATTAGCAACAAACACAACCACACACACACACACAAACAGGGCACATACACAAAACTACACGCACATACACACACATGCACACGCTCAACAATTACAACACAGACACAACACACCCACAACACGCACACAGAGCACACACAACACACACACACACAAAACACAACACACGCAAGACACACACACACAACACACACACACACACAAAGACACATACCACACACACAAACACACACCACACAAAGCACACATACAAACATACACACACATGCACACTCATAAACGCACACATACGCACACACAGACATACACACACACATACACACACACACATACACACACATACACACACATACACACACACACACACATTCCCACACACACACATACATACATACACCGACACACATTCAGAGATAGACACACACACACACACATACACACACATGCACACACATGCGTACACATGCACACACACACACACCCACCCACACACGCACGCACGTACGTACGCACGCACGCACGCACGCACGCACGCACGCGCGTGCACACAGACACACCACACCCACAACACACACACACACGGAGGACACACAAAACACAAACAAAACACAACACACACACACACACGCAACACACACACACACAACACACGCACACCTACAAACACACATACCACACACACACAACACACACACACAGAGCACACATACACAAATACACACACACACACACACACAACCACACACATACACACTCATAAACGCACACATACGCGCACACACACACACACATGCACACACACACACACACACATACACGCACATACACACACACACACACACACACACACACACGCACATTCCCACACACACACACAGATACACACACACACACCCACACCCACACCCACCCCCACACCCACACCCACACCCACACCCACACCCACACCCACACACACACACACACACACACGCACACACGCACACACGCACACACGCACACACGCACACCCACGTGGGCGCTGCCCAGGATTAGTGATCCTTGCCTGCGTCCGCGCCGGCTTGCCGTCGGCATTGGCTGCCAAAGGTAGAAAGGCCGCGGTCTGGCGTGACTGCAAAGCAACTGGGTTGCACCCTCACGGGGGGATGACTTCACTGATATGGCCAGGTGAAGGCGGGACAGGAGACTTGGGGTAGAAGACTGTTGCTGCAAGCAGGGCCATTAAGCAGGGCCAAGACTGATTAATTCCAGGGAGTGTACCTTGCCAAGCACAACCAAAACTCAGGGAATGAACTCCAAGGACCTGTGCAGTGACAACCTGCGCGGCTCCTTTGATGCGAGCAAGGTAACTTTGGTAAAGGGAGGCAAGCTCCATCACACACAAGTTATGGTGACCTCTTATTTAGACCCCCCCCCAGACGTCTCCGTACAATCTTAATTTTAAGATAGATTTAGAACCCTCCCTGTAATTGCATAAGCTGGGCCAAGGGAATCCAAAAAGCAATACCGGTATTCGGATTTCAGGGGGTGCATTCATGGATCCAATATGTCCCTTAAAAGTCACCTGGCAATTCTGGATTTTGGATCTTGGGTCCACGGTCAACAACTGGTATCTCGAAATCAAAATACATACCGGTATTCAGATTTCATGGGGTGCATTCATGGATCCAATACTTCCCTCAAAAGTCACCTGGCAATTCTGGATTTTGGGATCTAGGATCCACGGTCAACAACTGGTATCTCGAAAAAAATACATACCGGTATTCAGATTTCATGGGGTGCATTCATGGATCCAATATTTCCCTCAAAAAAAAATCACCTAGCAATTCTGGATTTTGGGATCTTGGATCCACGGTCAACAACTGGTATATCGAGAAAAAAAATACCGGTATTCAGATTTCAGGGGGTGCATTCATGGATCCAATACTTCCCTCAAAAGTCACCTGGCAATTCTGGATTTTGGATATTGGATCCACGGTCAACAACTGGGATTTCGAAATCCAAATACCGGTATTTAGATTTCAGGGGGAGACATTCATGGATAGAAGTGTTCCCCCAAAAGTCGGGCAATTGTGATTC